CTGAGTCTCTCAACAGCATTCCCATCTAAGCCTAAATTCTATCTCTTCAGAGAAGCCTTTCCCGACACTCTCTCTATAGCATCCCCAACCATCCTGAACACAATGATGTCCAGTCCAGGAGCCATATATGGCTATTAAGTCTTTAAAATGGGTGAGTCTGAATCAAGATCTGATGTAAGTATAAAATACACACCATATTTCAAAGACTTAACATGAAAAAATAATGTAAAATATAGCTACGTTTATATTTTTTATATACTTTATATATTTTCTATTTTTATGTGTATATGTTGATGTCCTACTTTGGACCTATCCGGGTGAAACAAAATATACGATTAAAATTGATTTCTTTTACTTTAATGTGCCTATTGCAAAATGTAAATGGCTCACCCACGGCTCACGTATTTCTACTGGACAGCACTAACCTTGTCTGTCATGTTTTCTATTATCTTTATCATCAGCAAAATTGCCTTTTCTGTTCCCTCGGTTTTCATCCATCTCCATAACTAGAATGCCATGCTCCCCCAGAGCAGGGCACGGGTCTGTCTTGTTCACAGCTAGCTGCCCTGCACCTGGCAGAGAGTGGCCCCAACAGGTGCTGACTTGATGAACAAACCATTCAAGTACCAGGTCTCATTACCCAGAGCCCTCCCAGCAGCCCCTCCCAGAGAGGGTCCCCAGGCCTCCCAGGACCCGCAGAGAAGTGGCAATGCGGGACGCAAGAGAGATAAGCATGCAGTGACAGCTCCCCTGCCCCAGGCAGAGACCCAGGACCTCTGCCCAAGGTGGGCTCAGGGCTGAGGGTGTCCGCGGAGACGACTGGAGGGATGTCCAGAGGACCCCACGCCCCACCTTACCCCAGCAGGCAAGCAATGGGCCGTTCAGCCCAAGCCTCACTCTGGCCACCACCTACTTGGCTCCGGATCTGGTGGATGATAGGGATGAGCAGCAGGACGCAGCCCAGGGCGAGGAGGATGTACTGGGCGTAGTGCAACACACTGGGCATCAACACCAGCTGGGTGTAGAAGGTCTGCAGGGGCTCACCTTCCATTGCCCCGCTCTGCGGATGGAGAATGACAAATGAATGGGCTGGCGCCATACCCAGAAGGCCTGGGGTGCAGATGCTGCCCCACGCCACATCCCCGTCCCCCACCCCTTCCGGATCTCAAGACCACAGTCCAGAGCTTGCAATGAAGCCTGTGGGCGGGGGCTTCCTTTTCCTTGGGGGGGTTGGGGGGGGCAACACGACTGGACTACATTTCCCAGACTCCTGTGCAGCTGGGTGAGCCACGTGACCCCATCTGGCCAATGGGATGTGGGCCCAGTAGGTTACAACTTCCTGCCTGGCCCATAGGCACCTGCCGTGGGATTCCAGTTCCTGGAAAGGAAAGGGTTCAGAGGATCTCTGGGAGGCGGGACTATGGGACAGCAGGAGCCTGGGTGTCCCTATGGCAGAGCTCCGCCTCCCACAAGCCGCCCAGACTGTGATGTGAGCAGGCTGTCCCTTCGGATGTTATAGCTCTGCCTGATTGAAAAGCCCGCTGCCAGAAGGAACCCCGGAAAGCCAGGAAAAAAATTTTCAAGTGAAAAGCTGACGCGCTGAGAAGCAGCTTCCCTTCTCTCAGGAGAAGTGGTCAAGCACATTCAGAAAATTACACCCTGGGCCAGGGCCGTACTGTCAGGCAGCTTCTGCCTTCCTCACCCAAGGGATCCTATCAGCAGCAGGATAATCGATAGGGCGTGCTTGGGCCTCGCGGAGCTCCTCACAGATCGCTCTACATCCCACATTCCGGCAACCAGCAGCCCCCACTCCCAAGAGCCACCTGCCTCCAAATCCCACCCTGGCTCCTGCCTGGCGTCCCAGACTCGGCGCCCAAGGGCGCCCACGCAGGCAGCCGGAGGCAGCCTCACCTCTTCAAACCACACCAGCGGCAGGACCACGGGCTCGATCTTCCCCGTTTGTCTGGAAATAAGCGAGACAAAGCAAGTGAGAAGTTTTTGCCAGAGTGTCTTCTGTGAGGCAGATTTGGACACGTGATCCCAAGCTCCAGGATCAAGAGGGATTTGATGTTGCAACAGCTAGATTGGTGCAGGCTTGAGTAATGGGCATTTCCTGGCAGGGAGTAACCTGACAATCTGATCCTATCTTTTTGAATTAAAAACTCACATTTCCTACAAGGTGGGGGCTGCCATGGACCTGGCTGATGTCCATCCGTTCCCTTTAGAAACAAAACCCCAAATTTATTCGGGATGGCAATGCACGCGGCTAACTAACAATAGGTTTTATGCTCGCCTCCTGCATTCCTTGGGAGAGTCTAGAATCTGGGCCCATGCCAGACAGAGGCTGCCTACGTGACCAGGCCCCAATAAACAGGCTGGGCCTGGGCACTGAGTCTCTAAATGGGCTCCCCTGATAGAAAACACTTCACAGGTATTGTCACAACTCATTGCTGCAGGCAGTAAGGGCATCCTGTGGGACTCTCCTGGGAGAGGGCTCTGGAAGCCTCTGCCCGGAGCCCCCCAGCCCCAGACTTCACCCCATACACCTTTTCCTTTGCTGATTTTGTTAGAATCCTTCTGCTGTAATGAATCACAGCCACAAGTACGACTATGTGCTGGGTCCTGTGCATCTTCCCTCTGAATCATGGAACCTAAGAGTGGTCTTGGGGACCCCTGACACAACACTTACTAGCTAACAGTGTGACCGCTGGCCTGTTACCTGCCTTCTCTGGGTTTCCACTGTAAAGTGGGCATGACACAGGCAGTCTCATGGGGCTCTATTGTTTTAAAGGCAGTAACATGAGCAAAGTGCTTAGAGGAACTCCCACCATACAGAGAGCGCTTCAGGTCTGTTACCGTTGTCATTGTTAAATCCTAGCAAACAAATGGACGAAAATATTCTGCAGCTATTGGGCGGGGCAGGGGTGGGGGTTTTCTGCTTAAAGAAGGCACAGCTGGACAGAGGGGAAGTGGAACGCACTAGGCCCCCTGCTAAGCCACGGATTGTGCCGTGAAACGAATTTACACAGCATCACCTGCAGACAAGTCACAGAAATACAACAGAGGGTTTGCGCTGGCCTCTTTTATCTGAGTCTGTAAGAGCAGATGTAAATTAAATGCAAATAGCATGCAACCCTCCTGCCTTTATCTCGTGGGCAAACAGCCCCAAAATTCCCCAGAGGAGCCACAGGCAAACAGCTCAGCTGAGTCTCTGGCCTCTTCCCACACCCGATGCCAACTGGCCCTCGGGGACGGCAGGAGGCGCTGCCGTTAGACCCGATCCCTCGAGGCCACTGCTCCAGCCAGAAGGGGAGGTCAGACGGCTGCGTAGCCCATGCCGAACAGACGGGGACAGAGGCCCAGAGAGGTCAGGGGAGAGGCCCGGGGTCACCAGCAGGCAGAATCCAGTGGCCCAAGTGTACCGCTGGCTTGAACAGCGTTTTGTCAAGAATTCACATTCACTTCCAACAAGTGAACATTGAGAGAGACCCTGTTAAAATCCAGATTTTGAAAAATGCATTTGAAAACGCATGGGACAGGGCCACGACTGGCAGGAGCTCCCGGGGCGGGGGTGGGGGGCAGGGGCCGGCCTCAGCCCCGCCCTCCCCACCCAGCCTCCCTGGGTTTCCCAAGTCACCTGTCACCCACCCCCCCCACAAGGCCGTTATGGGCCCCAGAGCCAGAGGCTGGTGGGTGGCAGACCGTTTTACTACCCCCAGCTCCTCCAGGAGCAAACCCTCTGACAGCCTCCCAATGCACGAATAAAAACCCGGAGCGAGGGAGAGGAACGTGTTCTCTCTAGCTGAAAGGCATCGCACAAAGCTGAAGAGACGCTCACATTCCTGCAGCCCAGAACTCTTCCTAGGGGAATTTTTTTCATGAAACTATTTCAAATATGCTTAGGGGGAAAAAAAAACAAAACAAAACAGAACCCAGAACCCAGACGCCACCATAACGAGTAAATCAGTGCGCCCTCTCGCCCAGCTCCATCACAACCCCGCATCCTGCCCAGAGTGGGCGAGGACGCAGGCTGGGACGTTCCCACACCGCTGGCGGGAAGGTCAGGGAGGCAGCTGCTGGACAGAACAGTCTGGCAGCCCCTCCAGTGGCTAAGCGTGGCCTTGCTGAATGAGCCAGCAGTTACGGTCCCAGGTGTCCCCCCAAAGCAAAGGAAAGCACGTGTCCACACAGAAATCTACACACGCACGGTCCTGGCAGCATTACTCAGGATGGCCCAAACCGAGAAAAACCCAAATGTCCACCCAGGGAGCGATAAAACCTGCCCAACGCACACGATGGCCTACGATCCGGCCATGAAGGGGAAGAAGTGGTGACATCAGCTACAGCCTGATTGAGCCTTGCCGACGTGAGGCCGAGTACAAGAAGCCAGACGTAAAAGTTCACCTCGTGCGTGCAAGATCTCCTTTATAGGAAGTGTCCGGGACAGGCAAATCCAGAGACACAGCAAGTAGATGAGGGGACGCCAGGGGCTGGGGGAGGGGGAGCGACGGCTACTGGGGTGTGTGCAGAGGGAGGGAAATGTTCTACAGCTCACCGTAGCGAGGGGTGCATGACTCCCAACACGCTACTAATCGCCGAATCGCAGGGGTGAGTTTTACGCCACGTGAATTACATCCCAAAAAGGCCATTATTCGAAACAAACAGCAACAAGAAGAAAATCGGGGCTTTAAAAAATGCCTTCCATAAAGCAAAGAGTCACCCTTTAAAAGGCTATTTGGTACATTTCCATGTTCCAATCCTCGCTCTTGCCAGGAGTTTTTTTTTTTTTTTCAATTTTCTGTTGAGTAGGAAACTGCCTGGATGGAAGAGTCTGGAGAATTTGGGGGACAGATGTTGAGAGATAAAACCAGGATCCCGGAGTGGGGAACAGACCCCACATCCAGGAGGACCGTCTCCTTCCCCACCTGCTGGTCCCTGGGGAGGGTCACTGCAGTCCCCCCATCCCTGGGACCCAGGCCCCCACTCCCAGAGCCACTCACCCGATGCCTTTGATTGCCTTGATATACAGGCTCAGCTGTAATTTCACGGAGCAGTTCATGGGAATCCCGGTGACCTGTGGGAAGAAGCACAGAGAGGGGCCTGGGCTCGCTGGAGCCCCCAGTCCTGGCCCCGAGAGTGGGCACCGGGACCCCCCATTAGCTCTCACCCCTCCCAGGCAAACACAAGCTTCCCAAAGCCCCCTTTCATCCACCACCTATTCCCAGGTATAGTACATTCTGTTCCCTCTTTTTTTTTTTTTTTTGGTTCATTTTTCCCCTTTATTTTTAAAATTTTAGTTAATTCATATTTTATTGACATATAATGTATTCTTTGTCTCAGGGAAGTACATTCTGTTTTCATCATCCCTGCCCCATCCTCCAAGCTAAACAAAATAGATTTGCATATGGAAAAAGTCACCCTCCTCACACAACTTTTCCTGTCTCAAACCTAATGATAGTTTTCCCTTGGATTTAATTTTCTTTTTCTCCAGAAAACTTTTTAATCTCCATATACGAGGTAGGGACAGGAAACTTCCTTTGTCACAGGAACCTACGTTTGTGGGATTTTTCTGGATGAGATCATTTTTTTTTAAGTAGTAAGTAAATAGTAGGCAAGGACACATGCATGTACAACCAAACTCAGGGAGGGAGCTCCAGAAGTGGAAAGGGACAGAGGCTCGAGGTCAGGAGGCCAGAGCTGCCGCCTCTCCACCAAGGCCTATCTCCTCGTCTGCAAAAGGGACTAATTCTCCCCACTTCCCAGAGTTTCTGTGGCGCCCAATCAGGTACCCAAGATACCCACACTAGGGGCCATCAATTCTCATGTGATTATCAAGTATATCCGCGGTAAAGGGCATTATCTTCCATGATAAGCAGGCCTGGCGGGCCCCAGTGGCCCAGAGGGACAAGGAGGGACAAGGCAAAGGCCGTGCTCCTGAGAAACAGGGGAGACCTTGAACCCCAGAAGCCGGCGGGATGGGAGGGAGTCCACCCGTGTGTGAAGAAGCGATGACACGGCAGGCCCGAGGCTGTCCTCAGAGAGGCCTGCTGGCTGGGCTGGCCGGTGGCTGGGGTCTGGGAACCGGGATTCCGGGAGGGCCCCCCACCGACTCCCTGATAAGCAGTGTTCACTGCGCCCGGATGGTTTGTACAAACAACGTGATTTATGCTGACCGCCGCTGGCTTTCCTGCGGGGGAGTCTGGGAGTTGGGGAGGCAACAGGCAGAGGGAGCCAGTGGGAGCGGACCCCAGGGAACACCCAGGGTGCTGAGTCTCTAATGGGCTTCCCTGGGAGATGACACAGCTCACTGCTGGGGGAATTCAGTGTGTCCTGTGTGGCCGCCGTGGGGGAGGGCCCTGTGCCTGACTACCCACCACCCCCAGACCCCGGATTCACCCCCTGTGCCCTTCTCTTTGCCCACAGAGCTTCGTGTCCTTTGTAATCCATCCCAGCCGGGACTCCCACCTTATGCAGAGCCCTGCGAGTCCCCCCAGCAAATCAGCAAACTTGGGGGTGGCCTCAGGGACCCTGACATAACCTGCCACCGCCACCCCCTCTTTCTAGAACAGCCTCTCTAGTCTAGGGTCTCCACCCGGGCCCACTTCCTTCCCCAGGAAATGTGTTTCCTTCCCTCCTTGGCCGGCTCCTCCTGGACCGTGAGGCCCCTTCGTGGGCAAAACCCCACCCGTCCCCAGCACCCCACAGAATGAAAACAGGGACCCGTGAACACACCTCTCACCACACCCTTCCTGCTCTTAGGGCCGGAAGAGAAGCCTCCAGGACAGGAGCCCCCCCAGGTATCCTGCTCTCGGGGCTAACGCCACCCAGGCAGCGAACGGGTCCCAGGCTCTTCCTCCCCGAAAGTACCCGAATCAGCAATCAAAACCCAAAAGGCCACTTCCTTTCACTGCATGCCTCCATCTGACCCGAAACAAAAGACGTGGAAGCCAGTTCCTACTGTGGCTGGGACAAGACACCTGCTGGCGTCGTCCGGTCCCCCAATCTTGGCCGCCTGTTCCTCAACATGGGGGGAGGGGGCAGGGAGAGCCGTGCACTCGAGTGAGAGTCACCCGTGAGAACAGAGATCATGTTCCTGCTGGATTCCCCAGAAGCCAGCAGAGAGAGAGAGAGACAACAAAATAAATGAATGAGGGGCGCCCGGGTGGCTCAGTCGGTTGAGCGTCCAACTTGATTATGGCCAAGGTCATGATCTCAGAGTCATGGGATCGAGCCACACTCTGGGCACCCTGCTCAGTGGGGAGGCCGCTGGGGAGTCTTTCCCTCTGTCCCTCCCACCCCACTCTCTCTCTCTCAGATAAATGAACAAATCTTGAAAAAAATAGGGCATCTGGGTGGCTCAGTCAGTTAAGCGCCTGCCTTCAGCTGGGGTCATGATCTCAGGGTCCTGGGATCAAGCCCCACATCAGGTTCTCTGCTCAGCAGGGAGCCTGCTTCCCCCTCTCTCTCTGCCTAGCTCTCTGCCTACTTGTGATCTCTCTCTCTGTCAAATAAATAAAATCCTTAAAAATTAATTAATTAATTAATTATTAAAATGAACTAAAAGAGAAAAATATAAACAACCATGGTAGCTTTATAACAAAAAACTCTCGGGGCACCTGAGGGGTTTAGTTGTTAAGTATCTGCCTTCGGCTCAGGTCATGATCCCAGGGTCCTGGAATCGAGCCCCGCATCGTGCTCCCTGCTGGGCAGAAGGCCTGCTTCTCCTTCTCCCACTCCCCCTGCTTGTGTTCCCTCTCTCACTATGTCTCTCTCTGTCAAATAAATAAAATTTAAAAAAAAAATTAAAAAAAAACCCTCTTAAAAACTGGCTAAAATGCGAAGACAACACAGAGAAGTCATAACACTTGTAGCAATAAAGAACAAACTTAATATGGAACACTTATTAATTACCATCAATTTAATTAATTGGTATGAACCTCATTAAAATTAACCAGATGTTAGCTCAGGATGGGGATGGGGGCATCAGAAGGCCCATGTCTGAATTCAGCTTCGTCCCTTACTTACTCTTGGTCATTTATCAAACCCGCACCTACTGAGATGCTAGTGTGTCTGCGAACTGCTAAAATCCAAGCAGCACGACAAGACAGGACGGACCTCTCCTCAGTGCACCAACAATCCCATTTACGAGCTGTATCACGTGACCTATCCGGACCGCAGCCTCCCCATCTGTACAATGGGAGGAGCAGGGCTCGCCCCCCAGATCACTGTGAGTGTGTACTGAGTTGCCACATGTCGAAGCATCTAGCTCGTGGCGGCACCAGAATGAGCATGCAAGCAGCATCTGTTGGACGTGAAGTGTGTGCGGCCAACGTTGGCTTAACTAGCGTGTGTTTTTAGTGAAAAGCGGGGGCAGGTGGGGAGTGCCAGGGACCAGTGGGGTCGAGTCAGGAGCTCAGAAAATCTGAGCACACAGAAAAACGACGTGGAATGTCGAAGAGCTCTGAAAAAGGCCTGTGGGCAAGACCATGAGTGTCCACTCTGGCAACAGAAACCCGCAGGATTGTTTAATCAACAGCAAAAGCCACCAAGTCCAAACAGGCACATTTTACAGTAGCAGAGCTTTGGAGATAAGACAACCTGGTAAAGACAGGCCCACGGGAGGACCACATGCGTGGGCCTGCCACCTTCTTGGCTGCCACCTGCAGAAAGCATGTCACAGAGGACAAATTCCCCAGGACCCGATTCATCTGCAAGATATCCCAGGCTCTTGTCGGGACCTAGAGAGCTTTATGATACGCTGGCACAGCCAGAGGGCTCCTCTGGCTAATTTGCAGACTGATAATTCTAATTAATTTCCTATCTTATGGTCCTTTTATAAAGATAATTCCCTTGGGAAGAGATAATGAACCCCTTGAACTATGGAGTCAGAGCAAAGTAGGCACCTCTGATGGCTTGATACTGCAGAAGTTATCAATGCCAAGGAAAGCCAGGCTTCCCACCACCCCGACCCTGGAACAGCTCAGTGCCTGGCAGGGGTGGGGAGCAGAGAAGGGGGCCAAGGAGGCACCAGTAGGAAATTCCCCCCACACCCTCCCCCATAGGTTGACAGGCACAGGCTCACCGGATGGACATCCAGGAATAAGGAATGCTCCTCCTGGTTGGGATGGAGGCCCAACACTGCCTCGGCCAGCACCGGGTCGGCGTTGTAGAAGTGAGGGTGGGACAGAAACAAGGGCGCGTCTAGAAGGCAGAGAAGGGGAAAGGGGGTCATCAGACAATGGAGAGCATCGGCACATCCAGAGGCCTGCATCATGCCAGGGCCTGGGGAGGCACAGGCAACGGAACCCAGCCACTGCCTGCAGAATTCCCAGATGATGACAAGATGCCAACGACAATAACTAGACAGAGAGAACTCTTTCCTCCAGTTCGTAAATGTTTACCAAGTGCCCGAGAGACGCCACGCACTGGGAAGCTCTGTGCCGGCAGGAGTGGTTGTGTGAGAGCTGCCAATTCGGGTGGGGGAGACCACAGGAAGGAAGGGAGGATGGTTAAACTACGCCAGGCAGGGAAGGCCAGGGAATGGCATTCCAGGTGGAAGGCTGGGCAGAAGCAAAGGCAGGGAGACAGGGAAACGCACAGTGCACATGGAACAGACAGTGTGTGGAGGCAAATTATGGGAGTCGAGGATAAAAAGGTAAGTCGAGGCCAGTTTTGAACTTGGGCGGAGAAGGGGCACCTCGATCGCGAAGCCAGGCAGCCCGGACCATCTCCTGCAGGCAAGGCGGCAGCTGTCAGAGACGCTGAGGGGCGCGTGCCTGCGGCCAGGTCTCCCTATCATCCACGGGAAGGGAGAAGACACACCTGCTTTGCTCCTTCTCTCCCAGCAGCCGCTCTGCGGGATGGACGCCAGCGAGTGTGACAGGGGCGGACTCGGGCCCCTCTGTGTGAGAAATTCACACCCAGAAACGCGAGGCCGAACCTCTCCATCAACTGACCGAGTAAGGCAAACGCCAGCTATCCTCACGTGCTCAGGACCACGGACAACAGGCCTGATGGACAACGAGTTAATGAGGAAAAGAAATCAGCCTCTCTCAAAAACCCATGAGGACCCAGAACAGGCAAACCCTAAAGACTGAATACCGCACATTGTGCTAGCCAGTGGCTAGGGGACAGGAGATGGGGAATGACTGCTAACAGGTGTGGGTCTCCTTCTGGAAGGATCAGAATGTTCCAGAGCCAGGCAGAGACAGTGGGTGCACAATATTGTCCATGTACTAAATGCCACTGAACTATACATTTTAAAATGCTTAATTTGGGGCACCTGGGTGGTTCAGTGGGTTGGGTCTCTGCCTTCGGCTCAGGTCATGATCTCAGGGTCCTGGGATCAAGCCCCGCATCGGGATCTCTGCTCAGCGGGGAGCCTGCATCTCCCTCTCTCTGCCTGCCTCTCTGCCTACTTGGGATCTCTCTGTCAAATAAATAAATAAAATCTTTTAAAAAATAAAATAAAATAAAATGCTTAATTCTATGTCATGTGAACTGCACCTCAAAACAACAACAACAAAAAAGAAAAATGACAACAAAACTCATGAGGTCTCCTTCCCGAAAACCAACAGTGTGTCCACCACCTGCCAGGTGACCAGGATCCGTGTTATGTTTCTGGAAGCCTCAAATCTAGGTTCTTTCTACTTTTCTTAGGAAGACCAAGCATTGGTTTAAAATAAAAGCTGGGATTTCGCTGCCACCTGATTTCATCTTTCCCGGAGGACTTTAATGCCCATTGCCTTTTTCTTGACATTGATTCATTCAGCCAAGTACCTCTTCAGTTTTGCCACACCTGGGTCCCCCTGCGTGATTATCCAATGTGCTGCTCTGATCCAAATGCCATGGCTTTATTTAAACAGCGATATGTTAAAGTCAAACTTTCTATCCAAGCCATAACTGGCAAACACTTGCCCCAACAAGACAGTGAATATAGAAATAAATACAACGGAAACCACGAAGGTTGAATATTCTAACCAGATACCATTGCCCACATGGGGCTTTGAGCACTCTTTTCAGTTAAAAGGAAAGATGGGGGGGGGGGGCGCCTGGGTGGTTCAGTCAGTTAAGCGGCTGCCTTCAGCTCAGGTCATGATCCCAGGGTCCTGGGATCAAGCCCCATGTCAGGCTCCCTGCTCAGAGGGGAGTCTGCTTCTCCCTCTCCCCCTCTCCCTGCTTGTGTTCCCTCTCTCTCTCTTTGACAAAAAAATAAATAAAATCTTTCAAAAATATGAATAGGGATGCCTGGGTGGCCCAGTCATTAAGCATCTGCCTTCGGCTCAGGTCATGATCTCAGGGTCCTGGGATCAAGTCCTACATCGGGCTCCCTGCTCATCGGGGAGCTAGCTTCTCCCTCTGTCTGCTGCTCCCCCTGCTTGTGCACACACACTCTCTCGCTATTTAACAAATAAATAAATGAAATATTTTAAATACACACACACACACACACACACACACCTATATCAATTTAAAAAATAAAAATCTTTTAAAAAGATAGATGGGTGCTGAAAAGGCCTCTTAGTGCCAACAGAGACTCTCTCCTGGGGGTGACTGGAAGGAGGGCAACACGAAAGGAAAACAGAAGCCCTCTCTCCCAAGTCAGTTCGTGTCATTTAAAGCCACCTCCTTGCACCTTTGAAGCTACCTTGAGCACCCCAGGGACAATGCCCTACAATTTGGAAAAGCTCCTTTCCCATCCTCCCATCTCCGATATGAAAAAGGACCACCAGAGGGAACACGAGGCCCCCCATGTTCACGGAGACCCTCAGTAAGGGCGGCGGTCACCACATTGGGCCCTTGAAGGTGGTGCACCTCCAAGGAACCCCAGCGTGCCTCCAAGGTGAGAGGCACCCACAGTGGGTCAGACCAATGTCCATCCCCTTGACCCTTGCTTCAGACAGTAAGCACACTCGTCGCTTATTCTTTTAACAGCAAGCACACATGCATGCGTTCCTCTCTGTTTTATGTCAAAACAACATGAGTAATAAGTGGTCATTAATTTATAGCTTTATGGCACGCCCAACCAGACCTAATTGCCCAGGGTCACCACAGATTACAGCGAAGAGGTCTGTCGAGCTACTCTGAGGGCCCTGAGCCGCCAGGAAGTGTGAGGGGTGAGAGTCCTCCGGGTCCAAGAAATCTCCAAGGCCCTACAAGGGAAATGTATGGCATTCCTTATCTTCAGACAAAAGGTCACAATCATGCAGACACAGGGTCCCTAAAGGACATGGACGGGAACATTCCAGCAGCACTAGGCTCATGGTCAAAACATAGAAACCCGGCTGCCCTTGAGGGCAGAAGAGGTAAGGAGACTAAGGGGAGTTCCCACGCAGGCACACCACGCAGCAGCGAAAGCATGCCCACGACAGCCCCAGCGCCGACGGACCTCACCAATAACACAACGGGTGGAAGAGGCCAGAGAGAACACGGGAGCACATGCTACGATTCTTCTCACATAAAGGCCAAAGGCAGGCAAAGCTGTGCTGCTGGACATCAGGCCAGGGCCTGAGAGGGGTCTTGGGGTGTCTGTCAAGACCCAAGTCAGGCCCAGCATTCGGTGCAGAGTCTGCTCCTAACTCTCTCCCCCTCCCTCTGCCCCTCCCCTCCCTGCTCCTTTTATTTTTTTTTTTTTAAAGACTTTATTTATTTATTTGACAGAGATCACAAGAAGGCAGAGAGGCAGGCAGAGAGAGGGGGGAAGCAGGCTCCCAGCTGAGCAGACAGCCCGATGCGGGGCTCGATCCCAGGACTCTGTAATCATGACCTGAGCCAAAGGCAGAGGCTTTAACCCACTGAGCCCCCCAGGCGCCCCTCCCTGCTCCTTTTAAAATAGATAAATCTTTAGAAAATAAATAAAAATAAAATTCCCTCGTACTTTTGAGGTTATTTTGGCAGATGTGCTACGATGAGGCTGTATAAGCCTCCTCCCCGGACCTCTGAAGTGGATGGACATTGGGCCCGCCTGGCACCCACTCTTCCTTCCCGATCCCACAGGGTCCCACACCGGGACTCTGGAACCAACCTTCCCCTCACCTGCTGTGCACGCACTGGCCCCGCCCATGGAATCAGAGGCGGAGCGTGACGCGGCCTAGCCAATCAGCATCACCCTGGGCCACGGTGATTGGCTCACAGGACGCAAGGCAGACCAATCAGAGTGAACGTGGGGCACCTGCGGGAGTGAGGAGGTCCCAGGTGGGCCCTTCCGGCAAGAGCCTTTGGAGGCAAAGGGGGCGGGGAGGGGGGGGGGGCAAGCCAGAGGCGAGAGCCTGCCTGCCAGTGGAGCCAGCCCAGAAGAAAACCAAGTTGGCACCCGGCGTGAAAGGCAGCTTCCCCCAAGAGCTGAGCTCCGGAGCTGTGCCAAATGCAAGAATCTGCTCTGGAATTCTGCGGCACACAAACCATGAGATGCCCTTTCCGGCGCAGGCGGCCGCTGCTCTTGTCACCTGCCCCACAACCGCAGCACACAGCCAGGTAGGGTCTCCGCGCTGTCAGCCCATCCCGCAAGCAGAAATTCCCTGAGACCCCAGGGACGGGAGAATTAAACAGGGCAAGGCCAGGTGGGTCACACAAGGAGGAGACAGGGAGGGCACCTCCAGGCCCCAGCTCCAGACCCTTCACCTACAGAGCACCCCATTCTGCCTGAACTTGGGGAGGCGTCCGACCTGACAGTCTGCCCCCCCCAACCCTGCTGCAAACTACAGCTGGACATCTCCAGCAGGATATGTAGCCAAAGAGGTCCCCAGAAGGCGAGACCCGGTCGAATGAGCAGTTGCTTCTCGTCCTACCAACCGTGTGACCTTTGGCGCGTCCCAGCCTTGAGCCTCAACTTCCTAAGGGCAGGGTACACCCACACGCCCGTACATTCAAATACTACATACAGGGCACAATTGTAGCAGCTGAGGACAGCACCCTGCCAACATTTACAGCCTGTGGGAGGACACGGATGATAAATTAGCCAAACAGAATACACAGTCAGTGATTTCAGGGAGTGATGGACACCAAGAACATAATATAGGGGGAAATGACAGAGAGCAGCTGGCAGGGGCAAGAAGGGGCTGGAGTGGGAGAAGAGGGACAATGTTAGCATGGGAAATCAGAGCAGGCCTCCTGGAGGAGGTGGCCTCTGAATAGATCAAAAGGAGGGGAGGGAATGATCCACACAGATCCACATGGATAACTGGGGAAAGAACTCTCAAGGTAGGAGGAATGGTTGATGCAAAGGCCCTGAGGTTGGACCAAACCTGATGTACTCTAGAAATAGGGAGCAGGCCATGGGGCTGAAAACTAGTTAGTGGGAGAAGTACAGAAAGAAATGGTATTGCAGAGGCTGGCTCAGGCCAGATCCGGCAGAGTGCTGAGACCATCGTCATAGCTTCACTGTATGTGCATGGGGTTGCACCGAGCAGAGAGCCTGTTCCCAGTGAAGCAAAGACCTTTCTACCCCAGTGAAGATGCTGTCCTTCTGTGCAGGCCATCCCGTTCAGAAGTCTCTGGGCCCACGCGATGCTGATCATCAGAAATGGGGCCAGTGTGACTAAGGAGCTGCCTTTTAACTGGATGACATTCAAACCAACTCAAATACGCCAATGAGGGGATGCCTGGGTGGCTCAGTGGGTTAAGCCTCTGCCTTCGGCTCAGGTCATGATCCCAGGGTCCTGGGATCGAGCCCCACATTGGGCTCTCTGCTCAGCAGGGAGCCTGCTTCCCTCTCTCTCTCTGCCTGTCTCTCTGCCTACTTGTGATCTCTCTCTGTCAAATAAATAAATAATCTCTTTTAAAAATTAAAAATTACAAAAATAAATAAATAAATAAAATAGGGAACGGGGGCACCTGGGTGACTCAATGGGTTAAAGCCTCTGCCTTTGGCTCAGGTCATGATCCCAGGGACCTGGGATCAAGTCTCGCATCGGGTTCCCTGTTCAGTGGAAAGCCTGCCTCTCCCTCTCCCACTCCCCCTGCTTGTGTTCCCTCTCTTGCTGTGTCTCTCTCTGTCAAATACATAAATAAAAATCTTTAGCAATAAAAGAAAATTAAATAATAAAACAGGGAGCATGGCCTGGATTATCCTGGCATGGGGACGTGGTGGGGGATGCGGGACGGGGGTAGTCTCCGGGGTCTTTAAACTAGAAGAGGGAACAGGAGAGATGAGGCCAGAAGGTGGGATTGGAGAGATGGGGATGCTGATCAGAGAGATGCTGACGGTGGGGACAGGAGCCTCGGCATTCTGGAGGCCTCCGAAGGGCAAACACAAGGATCTCCCCTCCAGCCTCCAGAGAGGAGCACAGCCCGCTGACACCCGGCCAGAGGCCTGCGTGGGACTTTGGAACTGTTTAAGAGGATGCATTGACATCGCTAAGCCACTGAGGTGGTGGGAATTCCTGACGACTGCAACTGACCTACATGGCATTATTTTTTTCTTTTCAGATTCTCTCTGCTGCCTCCTCTCCGGCCTAATGGGATTAGGAAGAGTAAAGAGGCCAGAGATCCTGCAGACCAGGAAGGGACAGATCTCAACGCGCCCACCCGTCCCGCTCCCACCGGAGATGGCACCTACTAAATCTGCAGGTGCTGATGTTCTGAATTCCGGACTCCAGGCACGGGCAGAAGCCCTCGTTGGGCGCGTAGACAGAGCCATTGGCAAACAGGGTGCTGGGGGCCACGAAGCGATAGGTGGGGATGCCTTCAAACATCCCTGACTCCTTGTAGACCAGGTTCATGGACCTGCGGGAGACAGACGGGAGAGGGGAGCATGACACCCGGAACGTGGTGGCTGGACCGGTCCTGCCAAATGTGACCCCAGCTGAGCCGTTTCTCCCCACGGGCACCGCCGCCCCCCCGTGGCCCCCCGGGGGAGCTGCAGCCACCATCTCTCTCCCTGGGAACTGCAACAGCTTCCTCATGGCTCTTCCTGCCTCCCGGCCCACGCCCATCTGTTCACCCCAAGCAGACCATGCTTCAAAACGAGAACAGAGTATGTCACTTAAAACTGCAATTGCCTCCAGTGTCATGTGGGACAAGACCCGTCATCCTCTCCATGGTCCCACAGCTTCTGTGAGGTCCAGCCCTTGCTTGCCCTTTGTTGTACCCTACGGGCATCCTGGCGACTGCTCAGGCGTACACCCACCTGCCCCTGGGCCTTTGTATGTGCTACGCCCTCCACATTCACACATCAGACTGCCGTCCTTCACGACGACGGGTGACTCCACGGTCACTTCTCCTGAGGCTGTGGCGACACGCTCCCCCACCCAATTCACCCAGCTGTATTTCTCAAAGGTACATGGAAACTTGGACTTGGACTCTGGATTACAACGGTGCCGCCCTCCCCACCCCCCACCACTGTCACACAGGGCTCCAGACCCCTTGGAAGGGGGCGTGTGTGGGTGGGACGTGCTGTCAGCACAGAATAAATTCCAGATTTCTACACTGGATAGGAAAAAAAAATGTGAAACTTCTCTGTAACACAGGACACTGTTTACACACTGAAACGATAACATTTTGGATACAGTGGGTCAGGTAAAACCTGTCATTAAAATTCATGTCACCTACTTCTCATTCTTTTTTTTTTTTAACACAGCCCCTCAAAAATTTAAGATTGCAGATGGGGACGGGCACCACGTTGGGAGTGGACAGCACCGGCCCAGACAATAGCCTTATGCAGCCGGAGAGGCAACGTGATTACGCAAGAGAATGTCCTTGTTTCCAGAAAACGCCCGCTTAAGTATGGAGACTGCCAGCTATCATCAGGCAGTCTGGGGACAGGGCACCTGGGGCCAAAAAGGAAACAACTCCCAAAACCAAGGGGAATGGCACACTCTTGCTACTCTTCTCTGGGTCGAAATGTCTAATTCTAAAAAGTGAACACACGCCCCGCACGGGCACTTCAGGTTCCCTGACGCTGGCCTGCACGTGTGTCTGTGTGCGTCTCCCCGTGCCCCAGTCAGGGTCAGGACGGAACAGGAGTGGGCCCATCCCCTCCCCACCCTGTCCGCAGCACCTGACCCAGCCAGCCGCCACAGAGGTCTGTCAGGAAGGCAGAGGAGTCAGAGTTCACATCTGTGAATCCCCAAGTAAAAGATTTTTCCAGGGTGGCCCTAATGGAGCTGAGGGCCGGGCAATACCTAGAGACGGGCTCTAGGGTCCACGGTCTAGTCTCCCCTGCCCTGGGGCCCCTGGAATCCGTCAGCCCCAAGCAAGCTTCTGAGGCCACACTCTGGTCCTGCAAGTGTCGCAGGAGAGACATCGAGAGCTCTCAGCATCTGGGCGGACATGAGGGCAGCTGGACAGATGCCCCAGAGGGCCCAGGCTTGCCTGATCCCCAGCAACCCCCGCAACCCGATGGTTTCTTGTCCGCCCCCACCGCCACACCATGCCAAGCCCCATGCTGCTTGGGGCCTCTCTGGGTCTTGCCAAAGCAGCACGAGCAGTTTGGCTCTTCGTGGCGCAACTGAGGACAATTCAGGATAGTGCTGAGGGCCAACAAATACACAAAGAGCCAAACCGCTTCCCAAGGGCACGCCAAAAGCCACTCGATTAGGCTCTGAGCGTCCACGGAGCTGATTTCCGCTGCCGGGAGGCCCCAGAAGGCCTCGGAACGTCCCAGCCATTACCGGCAAGCCTCGGGGCTGTAGAATTGCAGAGAGGTATCCGGAGTCATGAACGGCGCCCACATCTGTCCCGAGGTCCCGTTGATCATGTTGCACTGATCAGAATGCCAGAAGCTGACCTGTGGGGAAGCGATGAGACCCGGCCCTTTAGTTCAGCCACGGCTCTCAGAAACGCGCTCTCGGGCACTACACACCCGACCTGGGGCACAGGTGAACAGCAAGCCAGGGATGTCGCAGGGTCTCCCCTGGGAACGGTTACTGCCGGCTGCAAACGGGGACCTGGTCACTCTGAGCACGGATGGGGTTGTCCCTGGGCCCCAGAGCCCAGGTCTTGGCAGCGGTCACCGTGGTGAGCGCCGGGGACGTGCGAGCAGCCCCGCGCACCTGCTCGCTCCTGGGCACGCTTAACGAGAAAAAGCAACAAAGGTGGAAAACGCGGGTGCAGAACAATGTACGTAATATGATTTCATCGTGTTCAAAGAAGCAGCAAACCCAGCACGTTTCTCTGCACACACACGGGCGTGCAATGGGCCAAAGTGGACAGGAAGGTCATGCCCGATATTGTGCACTGTTGGGTGCCTCTGTGCTCAGGGAGCAGCAGGGCTGGGCTGGGAGGAGGTGCAAAGGGCACTTGAGATGTGTCCCTATTGTTTTTTTATGTGAATGTCTTCCTGTGATTCTCGGGTGTTTTGTTTTTGTTTTTACTCCGTAGTATCTTTCAACACAGTGGGTGGTTATATCATCAGTGTCGTATTTTTGAAGTGTTTTCGTACATTAAGAAAAAAAGGAAAGAAATAACTCACTTCCTGGTATACACTGGGCGCCAAATAAGTAGAGTTTCCATTCCCCACCCATCCATCGGGAACCAAGAGCTAGTTGAGCCCTAAGCACAGGCAGAACCCCCAACTCCGAGGGCTTCTCCATCACAGATGTGACCACCTTCCTGAGTTGCAATAGGGACAAGGGGCACAGTGCAGGTGACCAGCCGGGTGACCCCGCCCCCGCTGTCCCGCCCAGCCCCAGAGAGGAGGGCCATCGCCCTTGCCCTCACCTTGCTGAGTCCGTTCCACTTGTCCACGAGGTGGATCCTGCTGAAGTCTTTGACCCCCGTGAACACAGTGAAGAGCCCTGAATCGGAGTTGTTGAGCTGTGAACGGCAACACAGACCAGCATGTTTAAGCCTCAGGACAGGGGCAAAGGCCCTGGGGCCTGGCCCTCAAGCCCACCCATTTCAAGGCCATTTTCCGTTTCACCCAGAGCACAGGGGCCTCGATAACATGTTCATTGCTGAATCCCCAGTGCCTGGGGACCAAGAGGAGGAGGGCTTTCTAGAAGGGGGACTCCCTGGGGGGCAGTGTCCCTCCTAGGAAGCATCCCACCTTCCCTTCCTGACTCAAGGAGAGTCGGCTTCTCCTCCCAGATGATAGCAGAATGACCCCCCCACCCCGCAACAAAAAATGAAGTATGGCCATGTGACCTCTCCAATCAAGGAAAAAGAAGCAGATGGGGGCATGCCACTTCCGGGTGGAAAGTTTAGGACTAGCGCATGCACAGGTCACCGTTCTTTCTGCCACTGCGTAGGGGTCGTGGAAGCGTGTACCAAGCTGCTGCCTCCCTCAGCCTGGGTCCCTGAGTGACCAAAAAGAGCAGAGGGCCCCCTGGTCACCCACACGGACGTGGCATACAAACAAGGAATCATCTCCCTGGTTCAAGCTGCTGACATTCTGGGGCTGCTTGTTACACAGCACGACCTGGTCTATCCTAACCGATACCGGACCCAAGGCTTACTGAGCGTTTTCTGGATTGGAAGCCCCAGGCTTCGGCACCTTGAGGTTCTTTCCTAGAGACGGATGCCTAATTCACAGCAAAGACACGCAAAGCATACAAACCACAGGGCAAAACCTAGAAGCTCCGTGTTCCCCTGAGGAGGCCAAGAATGGAAAACATGTTAAGAACTCAGTAGGATGTTTACCAGCCAAATGGCGAAACAGATTACCGACTAGTTGGGCAAACAGGCTCCAGGGCAGGGACCAGTTTGAAGCCCTGCTCTGGCCTCCTAATGTCTGTGTCATGTCACCTGCCTATTCTGAGCTCCATGAGGACACGAACAGGAGCCTGGAGACAATGGGAGTGCAAAAGTGAGTGTGTCAACACTGTTAAGCGGTGCCTGAAAAACAGTAGGAACTCCAAATGCTACTCTTTATTAATATTATTATTAATAATAACAACAAAGGCTCCCCCAGAAGGACACTAGAATAATAATCAGTACAGTCAAAGTATATCAGAGACTGCCAGTTAGTATCCAAAATATCCTCCCCTCACTCCTTCGTAACAAAACCCAAACCTTACTCAGGGCATCAGCACAGCAGCTAAAAGGCTACATTTCTAAGGTGTGGCCACATGACTAAGTTTTGGCCAAAGGAAAGTAGAAGTTGGTTTTCTCCCTCCCAAGGAGGGAGACAGCTGGGACATGCGGTTTTGTCCTCAACTCCCTTGCCTGCCTCTCCATCCCCAACCATCCCCATCTTCCTTCCTCTTGTGCATCCTGGAATGTGGGTGTGGTAGCTGGTGCGTTAGCAGCCATACTGGGCTAGGTGGTAACCTGGAGCACGAAAACCACACCGTAAGGATGGCAGAGCAGGGTAGAATTTTAGATCCCCAAAGGATATGAAGACACGATGTCAACACTGGACAGTCACTGTTGGAATGTTATTTCAGGGTTTCCATTTTACCCAAACATATATTATAAGCACACTACTCACTTTGTAGTAACTTTAATGTGTTTACAAGTTTATAAGATGTGTTCAAAGGAATCCTGTTGCTCCAAACTTGCCAACTTATCCACAAACTCCGAACCCATCATTCTGGTTAAATATGTACTATCTATCATGTGTCAAGTACAGAAACATAATTTCTCCTTCCGCTTCCCCCCAAGACGGGTCACCAGAGCCCAAAGGTGAGGCTGATTCTGGAGTAACCCAGAGGGCTCACCCAAACCTTTGGTGGAGGGAGCCACGGTCAGGGGTCAGACTCTGCATCAGATCATGGCTCAGGAGCCCAGCTACTACCAGGTGACCAGGGGTCAAGATCAAGAAAAAAGCAGGCAGGGGCACCTGGGTGGCTCAGTCGGTTAAGCGTCTGCCTTCAACTCAGGTCATGATCCCAGTGTCTGATGCTCAAGCCCCCTCATCAGGCTCACTGCTCAGAGGGGAGTCTGCCTCTCCTTCACCCTCTGCCCCTCCCCCTGCTCATGCGCTCTCTCTCTCTCTCTCTCTCTCTCTCACTCTTTCAAATAAATAAATAAAATCTAGGAAGGAAGGAAGGAAGGAAGGAAGGAAGGAAGGAAGGAAGGAAGGAAGGAAGAAACAGGGCAGCTCAGAGCAAGGTCGTAGTTAACATCCTTGACTCCCCTCCCCAGCAGCCTCTCCCCCTTTCCCCAGCAGCAGCCTCCAGCAGTCCACGCTCAGCCCGATCACATCTTCTGAGCCTGGGTCAGGCTGCATCTCCATCTCTACCTCGAGTTTTCAGACCTATGAGCCAATACATTCTCTATTTCTCTTAAGCCAGTCTGAGTTGGGTTTTCTGCCATTTATAACCCATCGCCCCACCCCCTGATCCCAGCCCCCATTTCCAGGCCCCGGACATGTTGCTGAGCCACGCTTACCTCTGCAAATAGCCCAAACTTGCCCTTGAAGGGAAACACGTTTGGGAGGTACTTGTTGATGAGGTGTACGAGGGGGTCGTCATAACCCCACATGATCTCGCTTACAGTGCGGTTCATGAAGGCACGCTCCCCCAGCGTGCTGAACGCCAAGGTCATGATCAGCTTCATGCTCATGGGTTTATTCTCCATCATCATCGCTGCGGCCTGCAGAGTGAGGGGACAGCACACGTTACAGGATAGACACCACGGGTCCATGCATCCTGGACTTTAAGCCAGGCCTGAGGCAGAGTTCATCAGGGGATATGAACGTCAGGCCTAAGAAGGTCCCCAGAAGATTCCCTAATCCTTCAGTAACAGGACCTCCTGTGTTAGTGGATTCAGCTGACTTTAACTCCATCCCCAGTCGCAGAGGCGGGCACATGGCAGGCGTCTGGCTAATCAGAAATGTTCTTCCCTCCAGCTACAGTGACTGTCTTGAGAATGTGTAATGTGGCCCAGTCAGAGCCATAAGACACGGGAAACTTTCCCCTGAGGCTGTCAGGTTGCGAGGAGAGCTTCCTGCTGCCCTCCCTGAAGGCTGTATCCACCCTGAGGTCCACCAGAGCAGGGCACAGATCTGGGCAACTCGATTTGCACCCTAGATCAAGCCACACCTGAAACCTCACCCTTTCAATAACATGAGCCCGTAAGTTCCTTTTTTGCTTAGGCCAGTTTGGAGCACCTTTCATTGTGCTCCACCTGGCACTTTGGTACGTGACAGGCGGAAGGTGCCTCCGTGACCACCCCCAATAAAAACCCTGGGCATGGAGTCTCAAGTGCCTTTGTCACCTTGCAACCAAAACAATCTTAATGAAGACTCAACTCCACTTCCTGATATCTCCCTCCCAAATACCAAGTGTCCCAAAGACCTGTTCTCCCCAATATCTGGGTGCTGAGGATGCAGGTGAATTTATTTTCTAATTCCTCTTTCCTCTGGAGATACCATCTTGGCACTTGGTTTATTTTTTTGAAGGCACCTCATCCAAAAGCGGGAAAGTGAACACAGCCAGCATTTCCTAAAACCTGGGCCAACGAGGTCTGGTTCCTTGGGAACTCACCAGGGGATCTCCTTACCATTATAATCATTTTTGAAAAGGGAATAAACACACGATTTTTTTTTTTTTTTAATCACAAAAGGCTATAGAATGAATGTCCCTCTCCAACCCCTGGCCCTCCCATTTGCATTCTTCTCCCTCAAGGCTACCCACTGCTATGGGCTCTTCGGTGTTCCTCCAGAGACACCCACACCAGAGACAGCCAACTATGGTGCGTGGGCCAACGCCAGCCCACCGCTCATTTTGTACAGTCTGAGACCTAAGAATTTTTTTTAATATATTTTTAAATAGGAGCACCTGGGTGGCTCAGTGGGTTAAAGCCTCTGCCTTCAGCTCAGGTTATGATCTCAGGGTCCTGGAATTGAGCCCCGCATCAGGTTCTCTGCTCAGCAGGGAGCCTGCTTCCTCCTCTCTCTCTCTCTGCCTGCCTCTCTGCCTACTTGTGATCTCTGTCAAGCAAATAAATAAAATCTTTAAAATATATATATATGTATATATATATAAAATATATATATATTTTTATTTTTTTTTATTATATTATAAATTTTTTTTTTCAAATAGTTGGGGAAGTGAAAAAGACTGTTGGAAAAAAACAGGAAAATTATATGAAATAAAGTTCTACTGGAACATCGCCACACATTTTCCTTTGGGTTTGCATCAGCAGTTCCAACAGAGATCAGGTGGTCCTCAAAGCCTAACTCATTTACTATCTGGCCCTTGACGGAAGTTTGCCCGCTCTGCTCGAAACATTAAAAAATAAGTAAATAAATAAATAAATAATACGCTGTAGCGCCGTGCGTACATTCTGCACCTTGCCGTCCCTCACTTAGACCTCGCGGCCCGCTCCGGGCCACCCTGTAATAAATCACCACAATGAAAGACGATGGAGCAACCTCCAGGTTGTTTCTAGAAGCTTGCTCTGACAGGGTTATGGCACTGAATATCCTTGAGTGCAAACATCTTTTATCTGTGCGGTTCTACCAAGAGGACACATTCCTACAGACGAAGTTTCTGAGGTCAAAGGCCTGTGCAATTTCTATTCAACGTCACCCCCTTCCTGCTGCCCACACCGGTTCCGTGCGTCCCGAGAGCACGCGACAGCGTCTGTTTCCACGAATGCTCGTGCTGCCTGGGGCACGATCACAAAATCTTTGCCAGCCTCGTCGGTGGCGGCAGGTGACTGCACTGATAACACTCACGCATGGGGCTGGGGGGAAGGGTGCAGCTAGCTGTAAGGCTGCGAGGCGTGTTTATTCTTTGTTCTGTCCGTCCCATGGACTCGGCAGGCAAGCTCACCTCGGATCCAGAGCACAGCCCAGCGCCAGCCCCAGGGTCACCGACGAGTAAACAGGTAATACGTGTAAGGGCCCCAAGCCCTAAGTGCTAACACAGAGTTAGCAAGAAATTAACCCAACAGGCCTGAGGCCACTCTTTCTAGAAAGGCCTGCCGGCAAAGCTGGCCCTCAACCAGTGTCCAGGCCTTGGGATTTCGAGGGAGCTCCCACCACTCTCTGACCGAGGGGTGGGTGGCTCATGGGGTCTGCACCGTGTGTACAAACAGCACACTTTATGCTGACCACCTGCCTCCCTTCTGGGGATCTGGACTTTGGTACGTGCCAGATGGAAGGTGCCTCCGTGACCACCCCCAATAAAAACCTTGGGCACGGAGTCTCTTGTGGTTTCCGTGGTGACAACCCTTCCCGGGCACCATCACGACTTGTTGCTGGGGGAATTAAGGGTGTCCTGTGCGGCTCCCCTGGGAGAAGACACTGGAGGCGGGAATCTGGCCTCTACCCCACGCGCTTTCTCCCTCTGCTGTTTTTGGTTCTGCGCCCTTCTGCTGTAATAAATCAGAGCCACGGGCGGGACTGTCCGCTGTCCCTGAGCCCTCCCAGTGAGTCAGCAAGCCCCCAGGTGGGCTCGGGGATCCCGGCGCACAGCGCCAAAGGTCGGCAAATCCAGCTACAACTATAACTCTTACCCATGGAGCACGGAGGCTCTGCCTGCAAAGAGGCCAGATGAGGACTCGGCCTGGGGGAGCCCTGTGTAGTTCCCCACTAGTACCTCTAGAGTCTAGATTTGTAGAGTCAGACGGGAAAGACAAGGACTTTGGCCGGTACCCCCAAACCAGAGACAGGAGGATTTGCATGGGTTTAGGGTCCCGTAAACCGCAGGCTGCCCCCCCGTACCCCTCCCTGTGGCCCGTGCAAGGGGGACAGGCAGGATGAGAAATGGAAACCCCGGGCACAAGGATGAGGGCTGGGATAAGGGACACAGCCAAGGGGCAAACTTACCAAGACCAGGATGTTAGGCATGACAATATAGTCGCTCTCCAGGCCATGGGACCTGTCGGGCTGGAACTGGAAGCTGCGATACTCGAGGAATGACACCGTGTCATTGTCATTGAAGGTGATGTTGCTCTTGTGCCTGAACTCCCTGCAGGCGGGGAAGCCGGTGATCAGCAGATCCCCAGTCGCACTGGGACGGGGCGCCCGCCAGGAGCGCTGGGGCCCTCAGCTGCCTGCCCTCAGCCCACTTCGGGCTTCTGTGAGGTTCATCAGAGCTACCCCACAGAGCACCCAAATCCCCACACACCCCTCCCCCTGGCCAGGGGCCACCGTCCCTCACAGCAGCCTCCCCCATGCATGCGCCTGCTTCTCCGAGGGAGAAAGCACAACACAGTGGTTTGGAATGTGCACTCTGGAGACAGAGGGCCAGGCTCCCAACCTGTCTCCATCACTTACTACCAGGGCCTCCATTTGCCCATCTATAAAATGGGGGTGGGGGTGATAACAAGCCCCATTCTGTAGGGCTGTGGTGAGCCCGGAGTGGGTTAGCCCATGTCAAGCCACCAAGCAGCAGCCCACGGCGCAGAAGGCGCCGCGCAAGTCTCAGCTGCTTCACGCCGCTGCCGTCGTTATTCCTTCTTGTCTGCTATCCATTCTCCACAAAGTAGCCAGAGAATCTTCAAAAAGGAGAAATCAGATCATGTCCTTCTCTCCCCGACAGCCCTCCTCTGCATACAGGATCAAATCAAGCTCCTAAATGTGGCCTCCAAGATCCTCACCACCGACCCATCCAACGCTCAGGCCTCCTCTCGGCCACCTTCCCCCTCACTCATACCACGCCAGCCACTCAGGGCTCCTCCTTCCCAGACTACCAGACTCTGCCTGCCTCAGGGCCTTTGCATCAGCTGCCAGCTCTACCTGGGGGGCCCCCTACATCTTCACACAATGGCACCTCCCTCTCACCACCCACATTTAGGGGAGTGTCCCGTTGGCAGAGGTCCTCCATGACCCTCCAGTTAGACCAACCCTGCCCACGCCCCTCCCTCCGGCACCCTCCATGCTCCCCCCTCCTCGCTCTCACCACACTTATGGCCACCTGATATGTCCATGAGTCTACTCTCTCCCATCGATGTCAGCTCTCTGGGGCGGGGGCTTGGGTCTGCCTTTAATAGGGACTGGCACAGTGCCTAGTCCACAGGAGGTGCCCAGTAAATGCTTCCAGAATGAAGAAATAAACATGAACTTTGGCAAGCCAGGGCCAGCTCTCACACAGATGCCTTCCACAGACGAGCCTGGCAGGGACGGGAGTTCCGTGACAGGGGTCATCCCCAAGGGCAAAATGGGCAGGAGCCGGGAATCAGGCCTTATCCCGGAACAGTCCTCCCTCATCTCTCGGAAACCTGCTCCGCTCTCCCAAAGACCATGATCCAGCGAAGGGGCCGTGGCAGGTGTGGTAAGAACACGCCAGCAACAAATGTTTACAGGGCGCTCACAGCGTGCCAGGCTCTGTGCTCGGGGATTCCCACTAGCTCGTCCAGTCTTCACAACCACCCCATGGTGGAGACTGTCATCCCCAGTTTACAGATGGGGAAACTGAGGCCCAGGGAAGGAACGCCCCTTGCCTGCAACCACAAAGCCACAGTGTTCTCTTTTGTTTTTTAAGATGTTATTTATTTATTTGACAGAGAGAGTCACAGCGAGAGAAGGAACACGAGCAGGGGGAGTGGGAGAGGGAGAAGCAGGATTCCCACTGAGCAGGGAGCCCAATGCGGGGCTCGATCCCAGGACTCTGGGATCACGACCAGACCCGAAGGTAGCTGCTTAATGACAGCCACCCGGGTGCCCCCAGAAAGCCACAGTTTAAACCTAAGAGATCGCTTTGCACAGTGCACGGTCTCAATCACGAGAACATGGGATTGGGGAAAGCAGACTGACCCTGAGCAAACCCCCCGACTCCTGGGGGCCTCAGTTTCCTCACCTGTAAAATGGGGTCCAAACCCACTAAGACGGCCCACCTGGGAGGCCCAGTCCAGCCCCCTCCATCCTCACCTGTACACGTAGGGCCCGCGCTCCCGCACCTGCGGCTTCTCCCCCAGGAGGATGGCATCGGGGTTGACGATGTCGAAGAAGTAGATGGACAGGTAGAAGGGGACGGGGATCTCCTTCCACATGTTGAAGGACAGGCTACTGGGGTCGATGCGCACATTCTGCAGGGGGAAAAACAAAGACGCCTGTGAGGAGGGTGAGCGGGGCCACCGCCAGGGCCCACCCCACCACACAGCTAGAATGGCTGCCCAGAGCCGGCCTGCACGGCTCAGTCCCACCGGCATGTCAGGGGATGGTCCCCGGGCGGAGAGAAACTTCTCCACACACGCTGCTCCCCGCGAGGGTCAGTCCACAGGGAACATATCCCTGCTGTTACTTTTGTAAACATGTTCTAGTAATGGTAGCCTGATCAGAGACCAGGAGGCAGCTGGGGCTGGACTCTAGGAATATGGGCTTCATGTGGCCAAATGTATCATTCATTCATTCAACAAATGTTTACTGAGCACCCACCATATACCAGGCAACCTTCCAAGGGCTGGGGATAAAATAGTGAACAAGACAGACCCCGTTTCCCAACTCTGCGAGTTCTCTAATCTAGCAAGGAAAAGGCAGGTATTAAACAGGAAGGTACAATGTGTGCATATGTGCTGTGTGAGAGGCAGGGATGGGGAAGGGGACTTGCAACTTCAAACAGAGTAGTCACTCGGGGAAAACACAAGCAAAGACAGAACGAACACACACACACACACACACACACACACACACACAAATAAAAACAAAAGGCAGTGAGTGGAACACAAGGATTTGGTGGCAGGGGGTAATCCCCCATAGAAGCAAGGTCAGTGCAAAGGCCCTGAGGCAGGGTGGTGCTGAGACAGAGCGGAAGAAAACAGGTCTGCAGCCTGTCTATCTGATACACTGGCCTCTCATCCCTGCCTGGCTCTTCAGCTCTGCAAGTCCCTGTGTCACAAGGAGGTCCCCCCAGGACCACCCAATCCTCCCCCCGCCAACCTGGCCTGGCCGCATCACGGGCACCACAAGGCTCAAAGCCTGGGTGGGGCAGAGTGCCCCAGCCCATCAGATAGACACCCGATACCACAGAGTGAGGTGTATAGGGTAGCTTACATCACCTCCCATGGTCCTTTGAACACGGCCTTCCAGAACAAAGCCAGTCACCTCTACTGTCCCCAAACAGCCAAAACCAAACGGCAGAAGCTCCGGGGGGAGGCAGAAGATAGGAGTCACCTGGTCCAGCTCGGCCCCATGTCCCCAGCCAGCAGACTCTGGGAAGGAGTGGATCTGGAGGCTGCTAGACCCCAAAGCCACATGGGCAAGACAATCACCTCTTGAACCTCAGTTTCCCCATCTATACAACGGGCACCAGTAGCCTCAGCCATTCCTCATTTCACCAACATGACATTTAAATGAAGAAAAGCTGAACTCATTGCCAAGAATAAAAAAAACAGAAGATGTCCCATAAAATCCGGATTCCAGGGTATCATAATAATACTTTATTGATCAACACATCTTCCCACCGGCCATGGAAGCCGCACGATCACTCTTACAACCTGAGCCTCTAACACATGCAAATAAAAGAGACTGATAAATGTGATGTGAACAAAGCAGCAAAGAATCTGTGGGATCACGGTATTGTTTCAATAGCAGCCATTCGTTTTTCGAAATCGAGCACACCCTGGAGCCAATCTAAGACCCGCCTCGGCTCACCGGCCACACCTTTGCCAGCTGGCACTTCACCCGCCTGATCTCCCGGAGGAAGGTGACCTCCTGTGTCTCCAAGGGGGAAACCGAGGTGCGGCGCGGCTGGGTGGCTTTCCCCCGGCCCCACACAGCAGGTCCAACACCAGGACCCTCCAGGCCCCATGGGCATAGGCTTAATGCGTGGAATTCAACCTCAGGCGAGAGGCTGCTGGGCAGGAGTGTGGTCGACCCAGGACGGAAATCCTCGAATCTTCCAACAGGTGCACGGGGAGGAGCGACAGAGGGAGGTGATACCGTCACGCCATCTCCCCCAACCCCTCCCCACTGAAAAGACACACAAAGGGCTAGTAACTAGGGGTCGGCCACCTGTCCTGGCTTCCACCGGCAACTCTGTCAGGAGGAAACGCGATTTCCGTCCCAGTTCCTTCGTGTGTGTGTGTGTGTGTGTGTGTGATAAAAACACGTAACATAAGATCTACCCTCTTAGCAAATATTTGAGCCTCGGATGCAGTCTTGTTAAGCGGCGACACTCTGGGGTTCAGTAGATCTCTGGGCTTATTCGTCTTGCGTAACTAAAACAACCATAGCGATCACTCGGAGAGTTTGGGAGGTGATGCGTATCTTCACACGTAGACTGCAGGGACGGTTCCCAGGGTGTCTACTTATCTGCAAACTCATCCAGTTGTATACATTAAATATGGAGAGATTTTTTTTTTAAAGATTTTATTTTTTTTTTAAGATTTTATTTATTATTTATTTGACAGACCAAGATCACAAGTTGACAGAGAGGCAGGCAGAGAGAGAGAGAGGGAAGCAGGCTCCCCACTGAGCAGAGAGCCTGATGCGGGGCTCGATCCCAGGACCCTGAGATCATGACCTGAGCTTAAGGCAGAGGCTTATTAACCCACTGAGCCACCCAGGCACCCCTGGACAGTTTTTTAAAATGTCAGTCATACCTCAACTAAGTGGTTTTTAAAAAGACAGTTTCTGGGGCGCCCCGGTGGCTCAGTCGGTTGGGCGTCTGCCTTCAGCTCAGATCATGATCCCAGGGTCCTCAGATCGAGTCCCGAATCAGGCTCCCTGCTCAGTGGGGAGCCTGCTTCTCCCTCTGCCTCTCTCTCTGTCTCTCATGAATAAATAAATAAAATCATTTAAAAAAACACACACAAGAGATTCTTTTGAAAACATACACAAGGGCGCCTGGGTGGCTCAGTGGGTTAAGCCTCTGACTTCGGCTCATGTCATGATCTCAGGGTCCTGGGATCGAGTCCCGCATCGGGCTCTCTGCTCAGCGGGGAGCCTGCTTCCCCTTCTCTCTCTGCCTGCCTCTCTGCCTACTTGTGATTTCTCTGTGTGTCAAATAAATAAGTAAAAATCTTTTAAAAAATACACAAATGTTTAAAATAAACAAATAAATAAATATAGATAGATCTTTATTTAACAGAAAGGGAGCACAAGCAGGGGGAGTGGGAGAGGAAGAAGTGGGTTCCCCACTGAGCAGGGAGCCCGATGCAGGCTGGATCCCAGTTCCCTGGGATCACGACCTGAGCTGAAGGCAGACACTGAACGACTGAGCCACCCAGGTGCCCCAAGCGTCCAACTCTTGATTTCAGCTCAGTTGTGATCTGAGGGTCCTGAGAAGGGGCCCTGCATCAGGCTCTGTGCTCAGTGGGGAGCGTACTTAGGGTTCTCTCTCCGCCTCCCCATCCCATGTGTCCACTCGCTCTCACTCTCTCAACATATAAATAAAATAAAATAAAACAAAACAAAACAAAACAGAATAGTCTCCAGTTCCTGCCTCGCTCCCCAGCCATTTCTCAGCTGGACCCAGAGCCGTCTTCAGAACTCCGGAATCCCTCCTCCCCTCTCCGGCTCACTCTGCTTTGGAGACAAATCACGGCCAGATAAATGTGTCACCAGATAAAGCCACGTGTCCCTCTCTGTCTCCAACAGAAGGGGCTTCCAGGATCTGGGGGGTCCACCCCCTTCACCCGCTCACAGGGAGTAAGCATTCAACGACCCAGCTCTGCCCTCTGGCTGGGTGACCGCGGATAAGTCACCGCTCCCCTGTGGGCCTCAGTCTTCTCATCCACAAAACGAGCACGACGACAGAGCCGGTGTGAGGCTGAAATGAGTGTGTTCGAGTGAAGTGCTTAGAGCAGGGTATGGCAGAGCCCCAGGAGTCTGGATGGTCAGCCAGGGAGTCGCCTGGTGCAGGCGACTTGTCTGCCTCCCCGTCCCTGTCAGTGCCCCACTCCCACCCGCAGGTGGGAACAGACGTTGCACTGATTTTGATCTGCGTCTGAAGAGAGGGGACGGGAAGGAGCAGCTGATTAGATAGCACCGCCCGCCAGGCTCACGGGCCGTTTACCTGATGTAGCTGACTTGATCCCTATCCCCTCCCCCAAGGTCAAAGACCACGGTCCGGAACGCAAAGACTGGAAGAGACGGCCAACGTGAGCCCTCGCAGGACGCCACTGCCTCTCCTCCCACCCAACCCACCCCACCCAGCCCGTTCCTGGACAGTCAGGAGGGCTGCCTGGAAGAGGGGATGTGGGAGTCGAGCGCCCGAGAAGGGAGTTGAACTTGGCCAGGGAAAGACGACGGGGAGGGAATTCCTGGCAGGGGCTGTAGCCTGTGACCCGGCCAGGAAACTGTGGCTCCCTAAATGCCCATCAATAACAAATATGGTCTCAAAACATTTTTTAAAACAACTCCAGTGTCCCTCGACAGAGAAATAAACCGCCACATAATGAAACAATGGGGGGGCACTGCTCTATCACAAACGGAACCGGCTGCTGGTCAGTCCACCCCTGGCATGAGCCTCCAGGGCACATGCTAAGTAACAAAAGCCCCAAGGAAAGCAAACAGCGACACACTGCCTGGGTCCAGCCGCAGGACATCTGGAAAAAGGAAAACCACAGGGACAGAAACCAGATCAGTGGTGGCCACAGGGCTCAGGTGGAGGTAGGCGACCGACCGCAAAATGGCATCAAGAGACTATCTGGGGGGCACCTGGGTGGCCCAGTCGTTAGGCGTCTGCCTTCGGCTCAGGTCACGATCCCGGGGTCCTGGGATCAAGCCCCGCATCGGGCTCCCTGCTCAACGGGAAGCCTGCTTCTCCCTCTCCCACTCCCCCTGCTTGTGTTCCCTCTCTCGCTGTGTCTCTCTGTCAAATAAATAAATAAAATCTTTTTAAAAAAAGAGAGAGAGAGAAAAGGCATCAGGCTGCACACGTAAAAAGGAGGAACGTTCTCGATGAACCGTGAAAACATGATGTTACCATTTCTTGACGGTTTAATGATGTACGATTCACATACCATACAATTCACCCACTTCCTAGGGTCTAATTCAAGGGTGTGGATGTGCGTGCAGAACTGTGCAAACACCACCACGGTCAAAGCCCGGAACACACTCACCACCCCAAAACCAGACCCCCTGC